AATTAGGGAAATTTTGTAAGGGAGAGACAAAAATTTGCTGTAGCTAAATTGTCGTGAAACTAGAATTTCGTACAGCGCGAGTTTCGGAGGGAATTTTTTGAGATGCGGATTGCGAAAGTATGAATTCTTACTAATACTTGACCTTAGTAACACTTCAGTTTTCACTGCGAAACGCTTTGTAGTAAAGGAATTTGAGAGTGGCTAACAGAAAACATTCGGTGTTGTGAGCTTCCGCAAGCATGAATTTGTCTGTGTAATCATTGTGCTTTTATCAGTGCATGTCATCCTGCTGCTGCTTCTTCTCTTACTAAATACTGGAGTTCTTTTCCGGAAAGAAACACTCAAAAGATAACACTCAGTTGAAAAAAAAAATTAACCCTTACAAGTAATTAAAAGCAAAGCCGAATGCACTAGTATATCCAGAATGTATGGGACGAGAGTTGGGAGTGTTTGCGAGCACGGGAGAGACGGGGTTGGGAAGATGAGCGAATAAGGGATTTTGTAGAAGCTGACGTGTTTTCCTTTTAAACTCTTCAAAGTCTAAATCTCTTATGATTTGCGCTACTGTTAACATCTTGATATATCCGGATAGATCCGTGTAAGTGTAAGTAGTCAAAAGAACGTATCGCATGCACCAGGACTTTCATAGGCAGGATTTTCCAGAAGCAGATAAAGTGTAATCCTGAAAAATATCGGCCTGGCAGCACTTTGGGACCCCTCGCTGAAAAAGGCTTCTTTTCATTCCTCATTATCGCTGTAATTTCAGAGACAAAAGAAGCAGAACCTTATTTTCCCCTTTCTTTGCTCTGTTAATTTTTCTCTTTTTCCCTTTTTGGGTAGCGAACGCTGTCATGACTTCAGCCGGAGAACGAACCTAAATAACTAAAAATTAAAGTACTACTAATTCTTTGAAAAAATTAAAATTTTATTACGAAAATCTTAAGAATATAATTTTCCTGCGGTTCTTGCCCCCTTTTTACACCATTCTTCCTAGATTATACCAGTCTTACCTATCATCTTCTGCTTGCGTTTATAGCTGTTTGAGCATCGATGGTCCTGTTTGTTTATTCTGAATTTTTTCTATCTTTTGTGCTATTTGCAGGATGTGCTGTGGTGGTTGCTGTTTTTCTAAAAATTGCTTTTTTTTAGGTCTAAAGTTTTGTTATTTCATTATTTTTTGCAGCTAAAGAAAGCGGGCTTGGAATTTCCAACGAAATCTGGTGACGCTGGCCTTGATGTTAAGGGTATCAGCGGAAAAATCAATCAGGATATGGCTAATGAGGTTTGTATAGTTTTTGCTTCGGTCAAGAACTGCCAAAGGTCAAAAGGAGGAGATTTTTAGACTGTCAACTAGGCAAGGGAACAAGAATTTTTTTTCCAAAATCTAGTACATATATAAGTAAGTTCACTCGGGATGGCAGTGTAAAATTCTCAGTGATTTGGTTAGTACCTATATGTAATTGCATAGCAATAGGTGACCTTTTTGTTGGCTAAAAATTACTTACGTGCATAGCTTATAGCTTATGTGGGTTCAGACAAATTTCGCTTATTTTTCCATAGAACAAGTTTGAAGGATTTATCTGGATGCAGGAATGATCTGAAGTCATTTCGCTGTACAACGATTTCCGAGTTGCTTCCACTTCTACAAAAATTTTTTCCATGCGAAAATTTCGAAAAATGCGTTTGCGTTAGCAGGAAGAATCTTGTTGGAACGTCATTACGTTTTTTTTTTTTGGGCGAGGCGATGCGAAGAGGGGAGAGGGCTGGTATGATTTTGCAGGAGCATAATTTTCTTTACCTATTTACGGTAGATAAATTCAGGTTTCGGACGACAATACTGATTTGAAAACCGCAAAAGGCACCGAGGATGCTGCTAGCGATGAAGATTTCTATAAAGGTTTCTTTTTCTTTAAGCTTTTTCTTATGATAGGTATGTGGTAGTTGAACTTGCCAGTTATTGTCTGCTTGCAAAAATCATCTGTTCAAGCCACTGACTGAATTAATTTTTTTGTCTGTGTCTTTATGGTCTCCCGTATTATGGACATTCCTGCGCAATCGCTAATTTTCTTCAACTGCTAGATCGATTTTCACTTGTCAAAAATTATTTCCTAGCTTATGGAAACTCTGCAATCCTTCCAGTATCTTTTCTGGGCTCTGTTGAAGTAACT